GGAATCTTCCTGGGGTGACGGAGGGAAGGGGCTTTGTTTCTTGAAGGCAGATTTGATTTTTGGAAACAGCTAAAAGCTACTTGGCAGCAAGTGTGGTGAGTGAGGTGGGTGATCAAACTGGATAATATTATTTTTGGTTCCAAACAAGGTGTGGCTATAAAGAAATGAGGCTGATTTTCTCGTATGGCACATAAACTAGCTCAACAGCAATTCCAAAAGAGGACTTCCAAAAATGCTGTGGCCTTGGCAAGAAAAAAATATTTCTCCACCCCAGTATACATACACACACACACACACAGTGTATGGCATCTGACTCAATCCATAGACAAGGAAATCAAAAGCCCTTGGAACATATTTAAAAAACCAATTGTGCAAGTATGGGATGGAAGAGACCTGACTGGGCAGCCATTCTTGAATGGCTGCCATGGGCTCAGCTACTGGCCTGACAGGACAAGAGGACCACTGGCCCACTGGAGCCCAGCTCACGAAGTAGCTTGTCAACACTGTCCAATGTGTTTAGAAAAGCAGACAACCCAGAGGAGGCAAGAGTCAGTGACTGAAAATTATTGCAAAAAGGGAGCTGTGTGAAAACTAGTGCCATCTTAGTCTCTTTTTTTGTTTGTATAAATGTAAGGGGCACAAGTGTAGTTTTGATTCATGGATGTATCGCATAATGGTGAAGTCTAGGTTTTCAGTGTAACCATCACCCAAATAGTATACATTGTACCCATTAAGTAATTTCTTACCCCTTATTCCTTCCCATCCTCTCACCTTTCCCAGTCTCCAGTGTTTATTATTCCACTCTCAATGTTCATATGTACACGTTATTTAGCTCCCACTTATAAGTGAGGACATGCAGTATTTAACTTTCTATTTCTGAGTTGTTTTACTTAAGGGAATGGCCTCTAGTTCCATCAATATTGCTAAAAATATGGAACGCTTCACAAATTTGCATGTCATTCACGCGCAGGGGCCATGCTAATCTCTGTATGGTTCCGATTTTAGTATACGTGCTGCCCAAGCGAGCATGGCCATCTGAATCTCAGGATGCTCTTTATGGAAGAGCCAGACCATAGGAGGAAACAATAGGAAGGCAGATTTAGGCTCACCCTAATAAAGACTGATTCATATTATAGAACTGTATGTTCATGCATGTTCTGCACATGTATCCCAGGACTTAAAGTACTATATATATATATATATATATATATATATATATATAATATATATATATATATATTTCTCAATAAAGCATTGGTTGTAAATACTGCAACAGTATGCCACTGCAAAAAAAAAAAAAAAAAGAATTGTCTGTTTAATACAATCTCATGTATGTGAATGTGCATATACAGAGAAGGGGTGAAAGAATGGAAAAATATAAATATTTTTCTTTTTCTTTTTTTCTTTTTTTTTTTTTTTTTGAGATGGAGTCTCACTCTGTCGCCCAGGCTGGAGTGCAGTGGCGCAATCTCGGCTCACTGCAAGCTCCGCCTCCCAGGTTCACACCATTCTCCTGCCTCAGCCTCCTGAGTAGCTGGGACTACAGGCACCCAGCACCACACCTGGCTAATGTTTTTTGTATGGAAAAATATAAATATTTAATAGTAGATTTCTATGTGGTATGGAATTATGGGGCAAACATCATTTTCTAAACTTTACGTAATTATGTGTTGTTAGATTTTATTACTTGTATTTCATTTGTAATAACTCTTTTCCTTTAAGAAATGGATTTGCTAAAAATTCGAGGTATCCAACAACCAAACAGGCTACTTTGTGACCTAGTGAGAGCCCTGCCTTAGGAGGTAATCAAGCAAACATTGTGGGATGAACTATCAGGTCCCTTCCAGCCTAGGGACTCAGTATCTGTTATTTAAGGAATTAACCTTATTCAAGTACCAGAGTTGAGTTGATGGAAGTTCACTCATGCATCCAATGAGGAAGAGGCCTTCCAACACAATGGACAACTTCCCAGTTCCCAGGTCTCTTCTAAGAAAAAATAGTCATCTTAACATAATTCAAGTGTAGAAAATTTAAATCAAAGGGTAGAATCAGGCCAGGTGCGGTGGCTCACATCTGTAATCCCAGCTTAATGCCAAAAGGATATGGTGGATTTTCCATGTTTTATACATGTCTATGGTTATCCCAGCACTTTGGGAGGCCAAGGCAGGTGGATCACTTGAGGTCAGGAGTTTGAAACCAGCCTGGGCAACATAGTGAAATCCCATCTTTACAAAAAAATAGAAAAATCAGCCAAGGCTAGTGATGTGTGCCTGTAGTCCCAGCTACTCGGGAGGCTGAGGCAGGAGAATCACTGGAACCCGGGAGGTGGAGGCTGCAGCGAGCCGAGACGGTGCCATTATACTCCAGCCTGGGTGACAGAGGGAGACTCTGTTTAAAAAAAAGGTAAAATGGTAGAATCAACACGTCAAAGATGAAAAACCACTAACTAGCCATGAAACTTGATTCTGAAGTAGAACAATAAAAAAAAAAATACATAGAGAGGTAGGAAAAGACAGAGGCAAAAAGCTAAGAGAGACATGCCATTGATACATAGTTAATGCCAACAGGATATGGTGGATTTTCCATGTTTTAAACATGTGTGTGGTTATCCAGTTGAATCCCATCTACGTAGCTGAAGCCAGCAGGTCTTGGACATGACAGGGGAGTTGTCTTCTGCTCCTCCTCAGGCTGGATGGTCCGTAGCTGCAGGCAGAGTACCAGGACAGCAGAAACACAGGCTGCCTGGGGTCATGTTCTGGAAACTGAAGCAAGTCAAATATGACCTTAGGCTGGAAAAGTTCTGAAAGGCACTGGAGGAACAGCACATTGATGCCACCAGCTGGGCAGAGGGACCGGCATTTACTGCCTTTTGGGTTGAATGGTGCCACAAAATCTGAGTAAGAAAAAGGTTAGAAATATTGTCCTCATTATCCATTTGACAATAGGGAAACTGAGGTCTAGAGAGAGGAAGTGGATGAGAAGGGTGTGTGAAAACTGACAATCTCCTTTGCCTCCCAGAGAGGAGAAATGGACTTTAAAACAGTCCTCTCCTGCTTGCAGGAGCAAACCTTGGTCTCTGAGCCACAAATTATTTTTTGCCGCATCAAATATCAACATTTCCATGGAATGACAGGGACAGTTATTAGATGATAACTGGGCTTTAAATCCTTCTTCTGGGTTGGTGTTGCTATATTAGACTCTGAGTCCAAGCAGCAAACCTTTGTAATGTGTAGGTTTCATAAACCAAAGTCCAGAGTTTCTTACAAACCCCATTCAAATACACAATGATGGTTTAAATACAAAGACAACTGGCTTCTTTCTCTTTCAGGTCTTACCCACCATTACAAATCATTGAGATCACATTAACACATTCAACTGATTGTAGTCTTAGCTTCAATAAAACTAACCAAAGGAAATGTCAAACCAAACATTTCCAGTTTGCGTTTGTGAGCATTTCTGCAAAGGAAGAAGATGGATATTGGAAAATTGTGCTCTGCAGGAGACAGAAGTGTGTTGGTGACAGCAGGAGAGGGGGTGCAATAAGTTGTGAGAAATTACACATTCTGCTTCCCGCATGGTGACCTCCTGCCATGGGACTGAAATTGGAGATCCTGACTAGGACCACCTCGTAGAATCAAAGGGGACTTCCCCATCCATTCCTTGACCTTTGCTCACACCCCTTCCGTGCATCTCACCCTCTCTTTCTTATATATATCAGGTGGGAGTTGAGTCCTCCCCCTTTAGAAAGAATCAACAATGTCTCTATTGACCTGACCTGGCAACAAGGCAATGTGCTAAGAATTATACACATTACAAAAATGGCAGGGTGGTTAGTCCTGGGATCCCTCAGCAGCAGAATGTCTGAGTATTACCTAAGTGCCATTATTATTGCAATGTTGTATGTGTAAAAAACAGACCTTTTTTTTTTTTTTTTTGAAACAGAGTCTTGCTCTGTCATCCAGGCTGGAGTGCAATGGCGTGATCTCAGCTCACTGCAACCTCTGCGTCCCAGGTTCAAGCGATTCTGCCGCCTCAGCCTCCTGAGTAGCTGGGATTACAGGTACCCTCCACCACACCTGGATAATTTTTTTGTATTTTTAGTACAGACGGGGTTTTGCCATGTTGGCCAGGCGGGTCTCAAACTCCTGACCTCAAATGATCCACCCGCCTTAGCCTCCCAAAGGGTTGGGATTACAGGCGTGAGCCACCACACCCTGCAAAAAACAGATTTTGAGTAGTAATACTGGGCCTATGGTTGATGAAAAGCCAGTGTTGTAATTACTACTGGTGTCAGACCTTCAGTTCCATGAGAGCAGGGCTCAATTCTGTTTGGTTTTCCACTGTCTCTAGCATCTGGTATAGTACCTGAAACCCAACAGGTATGCAAAACCTACTCATTGAATAAATGAATGTTGAAGAAGCTCACCTGCGGCCAAGAGTGACAGTTGCTCCCTATAAATCATGGGTTTGCTGATGACAACTTCTGCAACCTGAACCAAAGCAATGGCTGCCCATGCCATGTGGCAGCCCCTGTGGAGAGAGGCAACACAGCAAGCCTGAGACAGCAGCAAAGAAGCTGGGGAGTGATTTCTTTGTACTGTTTGGGTTCACCTGTCTTGATTTGGGAGAAGGGAGAAGATGAATTGTACAACTGTACCTGATTTACATAGAGGATTCCTATTTGGGCAAAGCATTTTTGGCAAAGTAAAAGTTGTAAAGAGAGACTAGACCAGGTAACTCTTTTGAGATACCTTCGGTTTCATTGACAAGATACTCCAACCAAAGGTTTCGAAATGAAGATTGTGGATTGTGAGGGAGTGATTCTAATTGGTTCTTGGAGTCAGGATTGATTTCCACCCAGAAGGAAGGCAGGGAGGTGGGTTTCAAGGACCCTGTCGGGGCCTGATAAGAATATATTGGATGGAAAGTTTAGTGAGAAGGAAAAAAAGCATTGCACAGTCACCATAGATGACGGTTTGCAAAAAAAAAGAGCCAATACATTTTTATTTGAGCAATTTATTTTTTTTTCAAAGAAATCCATGCAAAGAGAGAGAGAAAGAAAGATAGAAAGGGAGGGAGTAAGACAGAGAGAAAGACATGGTAACCATGTTCTAGCAGCCAAACATAGGAAAATAATTTGGCACAACTTGATGGTTTTCTTTTCTTTGCAAAAGGACAATCTATATACTACCACTAAAATTTATCTTCCTCCAAAAGATACCATTTGATTTTCAAAAACATAACACATGGTTAGTCTTCTACTTAATGGCTGGAGGAGGTATACAGGATTAAAAAAAAAAAAAAGAAAAAAATAAGAAAGTGGTTCCCTTTATCGAGGAAGACCACAGGGTGCTGTAGGGCAGCACATGTGCTGGGCACCAGGCAGTCAGTGCACCAGGAAGAAGAAGCACACCACTGAGATGGCCATGCTGGTGAGAAGCTTCAGTGGGGAATGAACGTTCCCGAGGTTGTGAAAGGTGCTTATCTCATTGTCCTTCGGAGTCGCCTGCTGATTGTTTCCAGGCGCATCATCCACATCCAGATCATAGGCCAGTTCTGTCAATCAAAAGAGAAGGATTTGAAATGCAAGTCTACCCATAGCCTCAGTATAACACTATCCACAGCTCGAGCATGTGTCTGGACTGCTGGAAAGCCTCAGCTTTGATTTCCTTTTTTAGGGGGGAGAAAAAGGCCACTGTGAGATGGGAAAAAGAAGGGTATGTGAGGGTGGGGGGCGGGGAGAGGGGAGGCAGTAGAAGGAGTCAGCCAGAAGTGCTCCTTCCAGAGATCATAGCAAGCGGGAGTGTGGAGTGAACAGGCTGCACCCCATTGCCCTTTGGCTGCATACACATTGTAGGGTGCACGCTAGCCCTTTGCAACATCTCCTCCCAGGCAAGGTTTTGCTTGAAGGGCATTTTCAGCAGATCTTATGGTTATCAAAACATAAGATGCCATGTGGGTGACTATACCCTGTGGTGTGTTCTTGTGTGTATGTGTGCTGGTGGGGAGGGGGTGCTGTGGGTTCCCAGTGTACCTTTCTTAGGCCCTGCACCTTATATACATTTCCTTGTCCTGGGAGCTTTCCTTTAATTAGGGTTGAGAATAGGTAGTTTCCTGTTGAAAGTTGTTTTATTTTCCCAAATAATTCTCTTTTTATCTATAAGGTCTTTTCATTTCCCCCTAGAAACAATCCTCACAAAAAAAGCAAAATTGACCAAAGCATAGATTTAAACTGATACCAAGTGAATGGGAGTAAGGAGAGGCTAATGGGCAAGGGCTTTTCATTCTTGGACTGCCTAGCATTTATGATATATGTTCATGATTCTGAAAAAAAAATCACGGTGTTATTTAGCTTGTCCTAAAGCAAAGGTGGCCCCAGAAGGCAAATCTAAGGAAGACAGTGGTTTATCAAGAAATTCAAGATGGCTGACCCTGTCCCAGGGCTCAATATGTTTCAGATTTGCTTTTCCAGATTTAGAGATCAAATCTACTCTCTTGGCGATTCTAGACTCCACTGTCAATGTTGCTATTTCAATATCCTGTGAAGGTGATATGATGTGAGCAACTTCACCAGCCAACTGTCTGGTAGCCAAGGGAGCTGGAAAGATCCTTTGGGACACTGAGATGCCCAACAACAGGCACAGAGGAAATGACTGGGATTCTACAGAGGGAAGGAAGGAAGAGGAAGGAAGAGCTTCTCTTACAGGGGATGAAACACTCAATAAGTCACAGGAAAAAAGTGTGGGGACTCAGCTGGTCCAATATAGAGCAGGGTCCAGGACCAGGGCTCCGCTAAGGCTGGCACTGGTTGGGGCAGGCAGCAAGGTCAAAGTGATCAAAGCCAGGGAGTCTAATTTCACAGACTAAGACGCCAATTTCCAAAAGGTCTATTGCAATCTATACTGCCACCAGCAATGATGAGAGAACCAATTTACAGCACGTCCATTGAAAAAAGATAATTTTTGTTAATATAAGGCGACATCTCAACGTTTCTTTATTTTGCAGGGATTTGATTACTAGTGCAGATAAACTTTTTCTATGTTTTAGTTTACTAATTATATTTCTCAACGCGTAGTAGTTTATACCTTTTGCCTTTTTATCTAGTGGGTATTGATATTTTTCCTATTCATTTTAATAATATATATTTTGTTGAACTTTTGCCTACATTTTATACAAATATTTTCTCCACTTTGTTATTAACTATTTTCATGGCTGTAGAAAGAAATAATGTCCTAATGTTTAAGATATATGAATCTGGTTACATTTTACTCCTTTAAAAGCAGAGAGCTTTTCTTCCTGAGTACTCATAATAATTCAAATCAAATTTTCCAGGAAACCCTCTTACCCAGGGAAAAGCAACAGAGCAGACTATAATCTAGATTCCCTCCCTTCCAAAATAAATACGTACAAACAAAATAAAAGAGAAAAAGAACAAAGAGCAATGCTCTACTTGGAAATCAGACCTCTTTCTTTGAAAGGTGAACTATGCAGGGTGCACAGAGAAGGCCGAGGTCAGCTGTCAGTCGGCAAGGATAGCACAGGCTTAGGTCACGATCGGGTTTCACCAAAGTGGAGAGCACATATGGCTAGATCTGTTGAAAGCCCAGCCTTGGTTCTCACAGCAACTTCTCAACTTAAATGAAGAGGAGTATTTTTAGGGTTGACCTGAATGAGAGCACTCTCAGCATTACTTTCAGATTCCTTTTCTGGATAGTGCCCCTTGCCCGACATCAAGATGAAATAATATCTATTAATGCCACTGCTCAGCTCCTGCACTGTTTCTTTTTTCAAATCATCTGCTAACTTTCAACAGTTTTGTTTACTGTAGTAGTTATGGCAAACCCAGAAGTTTTGTTAAATCCAGTTGTTTCTAATTTTTTTTTTTTTTTGGCCAGTAAAGACCTCTTCTGATTTTGTTTGTTTTTTGTTTTGTTTTGTTTTGTTTTGAGACAGGGTCTTTCTGTGTCGCCCAGGCTGCAGTATAGTGGTGCGATCATGGCTCAATGCAGCCTCGATTTCCAGGGCTCAAGCAATCCTCCCACATTGGCCTCCCAAGTAGCTGGGGCCACAGGCATGTGCCACCCTGTTTGGCTATTATTTGTATTTGTATTTTTTTTTTTTTTCTAGAGACAGGGTTTTGCCATGTTGCCCAGGCTGGTCTCAAACTCCTGAGCTCAAGTGATCTGACTGCCTCAGCCTCCCAAAATGCTGGAATTACAGGCGTGAGCCACCGCGCCTGGTCTTCTTTTGTTATTTCTATCTCTTCAGCCCTGTATTTTGAAATTATAGTAATGATGCCCAATTACTGAGTGCTCACTGTAGGCCAGGCACTGTGTTAAACTATTTCTGTACATTATTTCATTTAATTTAACCATCTCCACGATGTTATAAGGTAGGTATTATAATTCCCATTTTACTGGAGAGGAAGCTCAAGCTCAGATTAATTATTTTACCCATATTTACACAACTGGTATGGAGTAAAGGAGCTATTTGAGTCCAGGTCTGACTCTAAACCTCAAATGAAGCTATACTGCCTCTTGAAAAATTCTATATACCAAATAAACTACAGTGATTAGGTAGTAATGGATTCTTCTTGAAAACAAACTCCATTGGTGAAATACACAGTGCCAAAGAGAACTTCCAAAAAGCATGAGAGCAAAGTCACTGTTTGCACATAAAATTGAAGACATACTTGATTAAGTAGCCTTGTTAAACTTTTTGAAATCCTGAAAAGAGCTCTGGGTTGGGAATGGGAGTTATCATATCAGTTCTATTTCCCTGAAGAAAACAATGATGGCCAAAGTCATTAGATACCCCAACCACAAAGGTGGCCAAGTATTCTACCTCTAAAAGGCCCCCAGGAATATTCAGAATGCTATCTCCCTGTGTTCCCTAAGCTGTGGCTGCAGGTTTCCTGAGGCGCTTCATTCAGCAGTAGCAAAAGTTTATCACCCAATTCCATAGCCAGGTACCTGTGGCTTATAACTGATGGGAATCCCAATAAAGCCACTGTATGCTTGGGCCACCATCATGAAAATTAGAGATAAAGGGAATAGCTCAGCATAGTAAGGAAGCATTATGGAGACAGAGGAAATAGGATTTTTGGTGAAAGATAAATACAGACATTTCTGGACAGGGGAAATGTAATACAATTTAATTCAACAAACAAAACTAGCCTATGATGTCTCAAGCATCACAGTAGAGGGTTAGAGAAAGACTTACTGTCTGCCTTCATGAGCCCCCTCACTGGCAAGGGAAATTGATCAAGAGACAATCCAACTAGCTACATGGCAGAAAGTAGAAAGGGCTCAGTTAAAGGCACAAGCAAAACATCTTGGGGATAAAAGAGAAAGAGATAAAAATTTCAAATAGACAGATCTTGGAAGGCTTCTTAAAACAATTGGGATATCCCACTACTGGGTATCTACCCAAAGGAAAAGAAGTCATTCTATGAAAAAGACACATGAACAAGCATGGTTATAGCAGCTCAATTTGCCATTGCAAAGATATGGATCCAGCCTAAGTGCCCATCAACCAACAAGTGGATAAAGAAAATGTGGTATATATACACCATGTAACACTACTCAGCAATAAAAATGAATGAAATAATGTCTTTTGCAGCAACTCGGATGGAGCCGGAGGCCATTATTCTAAGGGAAGTAACTCAGAAATGGAAAACCAAATATTGTATGTTTTCACTTATAAGTGGGAGCTAAGCTATGAGGACGCAAAGGCATAAGAATGATATAACAGACACTGGGGACTCGGGGGAAAGGGCGGGAGTGGGGTGAGGGATAAAAGACTACATATTGGATACAGTATACACTGCTCGGATGATGGGTGCACTAAAATCTGAAAATTCACCACTAAAGAATTCATCTATGTAACCAAACAATACCTGTACCCCAAAAACTATTGAAATAAAAATAAAAAATAAAATTAAGAATAATTGGGACATAATCTACACCATGAAGGATGGACAGAATTATGGGCTGAATGAATGGTTATTCCAGGCAGAGGGTGCAGCCTGACCCAAATCACCAAGCTCAGAGAATGTCTGTGAGGCATATTCAGAAGCAGCAAATAGACCCCATGGTAGGAGGAGCCACAGAATGTATATTGTTGTGGGGTGTGTGTGTGTGTGTGTGTGTGTGTGTGTATTGTGGGGGAAGAGGTGGTGGCGATGAAAGGTAAGGTGGAGGGACAAGTAAGAGCCAAATTACGGTGGATTAGGAAAGCTAAAACTATTCTGTGAGCAACAGGGAGCCACTGAAGGTTTTGAAGAAAGCAAACAACACAATCTGATTTGTGTTTTTTAGAAAGATCATTGTTAACACTGTGGAAGACAGCTCTAAGAGGGAGAGACTTGTCAGACATCTTGTGTTGAAATAAATAAGAAGCCTGTGGGAATAGTATCTGGGGATCAGCCAGTAGCAAAGTTAAAAACAAACAAACAAACAAACAAACAAAAAAACCTTACAAAGTGGCTAAATCTACACCAAACCAGAAACTTCTCAGTTTGCTACAAACCAGATGTATTATGAGAATCACCACAA